AAAATTACTGTGTGGAATGCTAGATTATCTAGCTCTTCTTTAAGAACACTCTGCAGTACTGCTGTGAGCCAGAAAATAAATTTGGGATACTCTGGGTAGAAGGTGAGTACTTAGTTGGAGATTCAGGGCAGATAAAAGGGAGTGCCTCCTCACACAGCCACTGCTTTCATACAACATGACAATCAACCCTGGGAGGTTACCATGGCTTTTGGATTTTTTTACAAACCCTGGTGGTACATAGAAAGCATAGGAAAAAAACAGTGTTTCTTAATATGGTGTCTAAAGACCAAACTTCCCATGGTAAAATACCACAAATGGGTACCAACAGCATGACGGAACAACAATGAGAAAAACCACAGTGGGTTGTTATATTGTCTGAACTCAGCCAGTGTGTAGTTAAACCATGGAATTCACCACCACAGGAAGTATTGATGGCCACCAATTTGGACCATTTTAAAAGGGGATTGTATGTATGGAGGACAAGGCTACCAGTGGGTACTGGTCTTAATGACTACGTGCAGCCTCCAGTATTAGTGGTACTATGCCTGCATACGCTGCATGTTGTGGATGAATGTAGTTGCTGCTGGCGCAATCCTATGCAAGTTTAAGCAGGAAAAAAAATGTTCACAACACCCAGTATTCCCCAGTATGGCTGGCTGGGGAATGTTGTGAGGTTCTAGATTATTTCTTCCCTTTCTGGTTTAAATATGCTTAGGATTGCACCCTGGATAATATAAGTAGAATTGTTTTAGACTGGACCACATCATCTCATTTTGGAAATACTCAGACATGAATTGCATTTGTTTTATTTATTTGCCAAGGATCCCAAAGTATCACATGTGACTCTCCTCCTCTCTATTTTCTCCTCAAAACAACCCTATGAGGATGGACAGACTAAGACTGATAGGCTCAAAATTACACAGTGAGTTTTGCTGCTGGGTGAGGACCTGAACCTGGATTTCCAGCAGTCCTAGTCCAGCCCTTGCATTGCTACTCCACACTGGCTTCTGAAGTCTAAGTGATGCCTGTACTTACATGCTATGTGTTTAGCTGTAATATCAGGTAATTAAAAGTTTTAACTCCTTAACATCAGCTCAGTTTTGTTTCTTGGTTGGCATTCCTGAACAGCCATATACATCTACTCTAGATCGAAGGTGACTCTGGGGGAATTTTGTTCTATGCTGTTGCTGCTGGTGCTCTCCTTGGCGAAGCCAATTACTCTTACTGACAGAGAGATTTCCAATGGATATACCTCTCTAATGTACCCACATAGTGCCTGGGCACTTGAGCGGAAGTATTGAAGGGTGGTGCACTGGGAGAGGCTCTGTTTTCAGTGAATTTTTAGAGATGGATAATTGCCTGGATGGTGTGTGAACACAGTGATAGTAAATACACATACCTAAATGCTATGGGCTAGCCCCTTCAAGTATTTATTAACAGATTGAGAGATTGGATTTGTCCTTCACCTTTTCACAAAAAATGCACTCAAAGCACCTTACAGACACAAAGCTCATTAAAATAAAACAGTACATGGGAAATTCATCTCACCTCTACAATTTGGTGTATCCTATACTTCTCTCTTATACTACATTCCCAGATTAAGTCTATAAATTAGGATTTGTAAAGAATCCAAGAACATGCTTGTCAAAATCTTAAATAACAGAATTCATCTTGAATTGGAGGTTCAGAACTATGTTTGGAGTAACTTTGCTGCATTAGGGTGGTCTTGTGTCTTAGATCTGTAAGTTTGTGAGTTTAAAAGGCTGTGTGAATCAGAAGCAGACTAGTAGATGACAAGGCCAGAGGGTTGAAGAGACAGAATTAGTATAGTCTGAGGAATTGGCTCTACCGCCGCAGAGTCCATCTTTTCCATATATGTATATTAAAACTTGGAAAGGTACAAACAAAAAGGCATCTGGCACATTAAACACTAGGAGTAACGCATTCCAAAGGGTAACCCTGTGAAAGCAACCATCAGTCATTATTCCATGGGCTATCCGCACTTCAGCTTAGGAGGACTATGCAGTTCTGCTGCTGATTGGTTGTGGTTGGTGGCTTAAGTGTTCCCCTTATCAGCATCCCCACATGGTGTTGTGCATCAATCAGCAATATTTTGCTTGTGGAAGTTTAGAATATCACTGGGGCAATTCAGTTGGATAAACTATTTCCTAACATCTAAGAAAAAAGAAAGCTACTTGCTGTCTTACACTAAGGAGGCATGATGTTAAAATTGCAGAAACCCCTAACCCAGATTTCTTTCGAGACAGGCAGAGACCTCTGCTCCCTTGTAGGATAGGTTTTTGTGATCCTTGGATCAAAATGTTCCTAGGTTTTCCTCCTGGTGCCCCTACCTTCTGAATCTGGCTGGTGGCAAACAGGAAGAGGGCCTTTTTGCCACTGGTGCCTTCTTCATAGAATATTCCTCTGAGGGAGGTTTGTCTGGCACTAGGAGAACACTTTCCTTAAATTTTTCCTTTGAAAAACATTAGCTGCATTTTTGTTGCTGAATGATTTATAATCTCTGCTGTTTTAACTTAATTATGATCACTTGTGTTTATTGTTAGCTTCTGACAGTATTAAGGCAGTATATGCATTTCAAAATAGTAAAAAAAAAAAAGGCAGCAGCAGCAGAATTAAGACAGACTAATTGGGACAGGTGGGCGAGCAAGGCCCTGTGCCAAACCTACCCTGACTGTAGATCTATTTTCCTGTGGGCTCCTTCCGGTCAGTGAAAAACTTCTGCTTTGTTCAGCTGTTCTGACTAAACTTGTTTCAGCTACATATCGTCATGCTTCTAAACTCTGGGGTAGTGTCTTTTTACACTGGGTTTTTGGTACCTCTCCAGTAGACAAGAGAGTGGCACTTTGGAAAGCAGGGATTGCTGCTCTTGCTGCTATATTGAGGGTGCCCCTCCCTGGATTCCATAGCAAGGGGAAAGCAGACTCCGAGATGAGGGCTGCCTTACTTGTCCGGTGGATGCAGTTGCTATGCTTGAGTCAGACCAGCTAGAGTTGGCTAGAGTGCTGTCTGACTCCTTAGCAGGGACTAGAATTGCTGGAGACTGGCCTGCAGCCCTGCTACTCGGTCTTGAATTTAGGTATGTTGGCCTGTAGTTAAAGCCATCCGCTTGAGAGAGCACGGGAGGGGCGAGGGGGAAGGCACGTAAGTCCCTGCCCTGCTTGGTAGATGAGTTTATGTTCTTTGAGACCAGGTAAGCTAGAGCTGTTAGAATTTTCAGGACCTAAAAAAGGAAGGGCCATGCATTTTTAAAGCCCTTTCCCACGTAAGAAGAGAGGGCTGATGTAGCAGATAGCATTGGCTCAGCCACTTTGTCTGTTTCCGAGTTTCTCTGGAACTTACACACGTGTTGAGCATTGCCAAAATGCAAGAGATTTAAGGGAGGATGAAACTCTGCCACTTAGTACCATGAAACCGCGGTTCTTTGTGTTGTGAGAGTTCTGCTTGCTATGGGAGCACGCAGATACCTTTCCAGGGTGTGTGTGGGAGCTTTTTATAGCCAGGAATGTGCAAAAGGCAATGCATGGTAGTCAAACATGCCTATCAGTCATTAACCATAAGTTAGTCTTTAATGAGCTGTACCCTAGAAAGGCAGCAAGGGAATCTCTCTGTCACCAAAACAGGCTGAAGAGGTTACATAGGAATTTCCATTTGCCATATTAACTGCATATTGCTTAAACCATGTGAGATAAGACCACTGTCACATGTTGCAATTGCTGGATTAGCACAAATCCAGATTTATGAGAGTGTGTATTGGGGGTGAAGAGGTATGACTAAAATAAAAAGCTGGTGGTGGTAAGATAAAACTGATGCCTAACCCCAACTGCCTGCATTTTCATTTTGCTTTGATAAACAGTTTGATAGGTCATTTCTTTCCTTGGCAGCATGTGTCATTAGAAAGAAGGGTGGATGGTTTGGATGGGTAGATCTGCCAAATGTGATGGGCATAATAGGCCACTGGGACTACGAAGAAGGAATTCCCCTGACTACAGAAAGCCTTCTTCAAGTCACTTTCATTTTTCTGTATTTAATAATCACTGCCTATAGGAGATGAATCCTCTGTGATGCTAAGGACCAGAACAATACCACCAAAAGGAAGAAAAATGCATCACTGGGAGATACCCAATTCTGCATAGAAGCTTTGTCTAAATTCCTTATTATTGGTGTGCCAATTCTTGTCTCTTTCTTGTCTGCTATTTCAACCTAGCAGTTGGACAGGGGGCATTCTTAATGCATCAGAGGGAACTGCTTGTCTCCAGAGGGCCTTGGTTTTTTATTATTTGTGATCCCTTTAATCCTTCTGACTTCATATTGCGTAGCTGAAATACTCTTTCTGGCACAAACTTTATTTGAAGTGGTGATATAAAATATGGGCATGCTGGACTTCATATGTGCTCTCCTATCTTGGTAACAGTGGAAAAGGGTCTGGAGAGCTACATTTCTTCATTCTCATATTTTACCATGCCATAAAATCAAGGCAAAGACCCAGTTCGCCTGTCGCAGTAACAAATGGTTGATTAACTCATGATTTACAGTGGCACATGCTGGGTTGAGTATTTTGAGTATTTAGTCCCTAATAGAGCCAGTTGGGGGTTGCTATATGACTTCTGAACCCAAACTCAGTGACTAGATCATGGCGGTCCATTGTGACTTCTTTAAATCACAACAAGCTGTATCATTTGTTGAGGCATGGTTTCTTGGCTCCTTGACCCAATTCCTTCCATCTCCAGAAAAAGCTGGCCTGTAAGTATTTGATGCATCCTTAAAATGAAGTAGGAGACCACCTCAGACATGTATGGTACTCACAGGTGATTGTTTCTTTAAGGAGAAGGTTCACCTACTGAGTTATCACATTCTCTCTGGCTGTCCATCAGTACTGCTAAATTATACTTAACCTGTGTAGGATGGAGAATGCCCTACTTTCAACATCAACTGAACTGCAGTGTCCTGGTACATGTGCACTTCCTTGTTTTTCTTTCCAGCTGTTCCAAAATCTGCAAAAATTCTTTGCTGCAAGGAAACCAGAGTGATGTCATCAGAGGATGATACTGGCGGGGAGGCTCCCAGTGGCAGTTTCTGGGAGGTAAGAAAAAGATAGATGGAGGGTAGAGTGCTTCTTTCCGTAGGGTTGGGTAGGATACTGATGTCAGTAAGCCCGGGGTGTTCTGATCTCTGATACTTCTTTTTATGGTACTATTATCTTTAGCACTGTATAATAATATAAGGTCTGGAATGTCTGACCAGTATCAACATGACAGTTCCAGCTCCCCTTTCCCTTGTTGGTAATTTAGGTGGGAATGATTCTGCAGTTCAGAAACCTTCAAAGAACTTGTTTGTTCTGCGTGGGAGCATCATGCATTACTTCTGAGTTGTAAGATAATCTGAGATGAGTGCAAGGAGGCCTGACGCTGTTGTCTAATTTCAGCCTGGCAACTACAAGCGGACAGTGAAGCGGGTGGATGATGGAAACCGGCTGTGTAATGACCTTGTCTCCTGCTTTCAAGAAAGAGCCAAAATTGAGAAGAACTATGCTCAGCAACTGACAGACTGGTCCCGCAAATGGAGGACTGCTGTGGAAAAGGGTATGGTAGAGGAGGCACATCACTCAGAATGGAACATCCAGACTCCTTAGGGGAGGAGGGCAGTATAAATCCTTCTTTTGGTGTTCTGGAGACCCTGTTTGCAATGTGCATTGGTGGTGTTGCCCCTTCAGCTAAAACAAATAGTTCAAGAAACAAAGATGCTCTGCATCATTTTTCCAGTAATTGCTGAAGAAAGAATCTTCTTGATATTGTCTAACCAGAAGTGGCTTTGTTAAAGCAAGGAAAGTTAAAGAAAGATTTTAGTTTTGAGAGATTGTCATTAACAAAGTCTGTAGGATGTATTCTGAGGAGCCAAGCCTACTACATATGAATGTCTTCTAGCCACTGACCCATGAATAAGTGCTAATTATTGACTTAGGTAGAAAGATTTCAGCAACCCACAGAGTCTGGTTGGCAGACAGACTTGCAGAATGTACAAAAAACAACCTTGTACAGCATGACGGAACAGCTGCATGTGATGGTAAGAGTGAGCAATGATTTGGGAGTAGCGTAGAGACTGTCGTACGGATTTTGATTAGCATCCCTCAGCAGGTGAAAGGTTATTTCTTGAATTCTAAAGAAAAAGGATGAAACAAGTCTTTGTGTAAAGAGACTCATCAGGAGTTGATTAGCACATACTAGTTGCATTTATCCATAATGAACCTAGAGAATGATCTGTATGTAGGCAACCCCATTGTCAGTATGCATTCCTCTCACAAAATCTGTTCTCCTGCTACAAGGACTTCTAGGATACATGGCATGGCTGACATTTGAAGGCTGGCTTTAGAACCTAGTTCCTTTTGTTCTTGGCATCATTACATTGCTGTACTACCTTTGTTTGTTCCTCTAGGTCCTCAGTATGGCACTCTGGAAAAAGCCTGGCATGCATTCCTGACTGCAGCAGACAAACTTAGTGAGATCCACCTAGAAGTACGCAACCACCTAGCTGGTGAAGACTCAGACAAGATTAAGACCTGGCAAAAGGAAGCCTTCCATAAGCAGATGATTGGTGGCTTCAAGGAGACAAAGGAAGCAGAGGATGGCTTCCGCAAGGCCCAGAAGCCCTGGGTGAAAAAGTTGAAGGATGTAAGAAACACAACCAGGAGACTGGGGGTTAGAGAGAATAACTAAGATCTGAGGGTGCTCAGTCTCAGAAGTCATGTCTTAATTGGTTTTGTTCTTTGGCTTGACAGTCTCCAAAGAGCTCAGTCAGTCTCTTACAGATATGGTGTGAGCACACAAATACTGTGTATAGTTCTAGTCACTGCACCTAAAGAGGATGTTGCAGAGTTGGAAAAAGTGCAGAAAGGAACAACTAAAATAATCAAGGGGTTGATGTAACACCTTTATAAGGAAAGATTACAACATCTGGAACCATGTAGCTTAGAAAAGAAGAGAGACATGGAAGAGGCATTCAGAATGATGCATGGTGTGGCAAAAGTAGCTAGTGAGACAAGTTTCTCCTCTCATAGTTTTGGAACTTGGGTCATACCACAAAATTGGTTAGTGGGAGATTCAGGACAAGAAAGAGGTCCCCCCCCTCCCCACAGCGCATAGTTAAACTATGGAATTTACTATGTTGTGATGGCCACCAACCCAGACAGCTTTGGAAGGGAATTGGACAAATGCATGCATGGCTACTAGTCAAAATGGCTGTATGCTGCTTCTAGGATCAGAGGCAGAATGCCTATATGTATCAGTTGCTGGGGAACATGGGTGGGAGTGTTGTTCACTCATGGATTTCCTGTGAACAGTTTTGGCCACTGCAGAAACAGAATGCTGGACTGGATGGAGCCAAATTATTTTTATTTTTCTTTCACTGGTCACTGATGAGGTGTTGCTGAGATGGAATCTGATATTGAAGCTGACCACATTAGGCTCGGTACCTGTCTGTTTATGGTCCCTCTGTGGTGAAGCAGATAGCAAAGTTGGGAAACCCTTCCTACCACCTTCTGTTGAATACAAGAAAACCTCTTTGCTTTTGATGAACAGCACTGAACTTTTTATACACTATTTCATATACTATATGTGCTAGGTGGAAGCTTCAAAAAAGAATTACCACAATGCTCGGAAAGATGAGAAGACTGCACAGACACGAGAGAATCATGCCAAAGCAGATTCTGCTGTGTCACAGGAGCAGATGCGTAAACTGCAGGAACGTGTAGAGAAATGTGCACAAGAAGCAGAGAAGGTAGGTAATCGTAAAGGTGAGCCTAGTCTACTGAGTTTTTCTTAAGCTGAGAGCTTTAAGTCATTGTTATTGGGAAAGTGGGGCAACTTGGTTTGGGATTCTTTGTAGCAGACTAAATTCTGGGGGTGGAGTGGCAGCAGTGCTTCAGTGCCTGTGTGTAAGGTCATGAAGGACCAGAAACAACAGAGTCAACGATAGCCCTTAAATGGGAATTGATTTAGTCATTATGCATGTTTATATAACACTTTCCATGAAGCTATACAAGCAATAATATCATTGGCTCTAAAATATAACAAGTAGGAATAAAATGATGCATTCTACTTTGTACTGCCAGTTATACCTTGTTGAGTCACATCTCAATTCTGGGTGAAAGATGGGTCTTAAGTCAAAACTGGGGGCACCTGTCTAACAACAATTGATCACATCCGGAGGGTGGGTGCTGCAGCTCTAAATAGTCTGCTGCAAGAACTCCTGAGACAAACCAGAGGACCATGTGGTGCCATCAGATTTGTAGACACTGGGCAGGGACATAAAAAGTGAGGCAATACATAAGGCAACCTAGGAGAGAGAAAGATGGACATGTAACTCACGACACTCTCTCTCAAGTGGTGAAGCTAGTAGAGTAACCAACAGGAAAATACCTGTTGAACATGAGTCTAGTCTCAGTCCCTGAGATTCCTACATGAAAGGTAGATTTGGATGTTACATCCTGAGGAATTCAGGTTCCTTCATGCCTTGCACCTGGAAGCAGCTAAGCCTACTGCTCAATCATTTTACTTTGTTCCCTGCAGTGCAAGGATCAATATGAGAAGATGCTGGAGGAGCTGAACCGCTACAACCCTCGGTACATGGAGGACATGGAGCAGGTCTTTGAGGGCTGCCAGGAAGCAGAATGCAAACGCCTGTGCTTCTTCAAAGAGATGTTCTTGGATCTGCACAATCATCTCAACCTGTCTACCAATGACAGGTATGTGTGGAAAAACTGTTAGCCTGAGCCCTTCATGACCTGCTGTGGGATAAGAAAAACACCAGTAATTTTCTTGAAAGTCTCCATGTTACAAAAACCTGTCCCATGACCACATACCAGTATATTTCTTCAATAGTGTTTCTTATGCTTATTGCATGTTGTGTCCCCCCTCCCCAACTGCAGCTTCCATGCACTTTATCGGGATTTGTACCAGGGAATAATGTCTGCAGATGACCAAGAGGATCTGAAGTGGTGGCGCAATACCCATGGACCAGGCATGGCTATGAACTGGCCACAGTTTGAGGTAGGCTGTTCCTCTCTGGCAGGAAGCTAATATACATCGCATGATGGGAAACTAGAGAGTTGGCAGGTCAGACCTTTTGTCCATCTGGCCCGAACCACATTGGCTACCCAGGGACTCAAGCACAAGTCTTTCCCATCATTTACTTCTGGATCCTTTTAACTGAAGATCATGGATTGAAACTAGCATCACTCAGATGCAAAGGATGTGTTATATTTGTAAATGATGACCCTTCCCAAATTATGTGTGCAGCCTAGTCAAACTGTAGCTTAGGTCCTTCTTGCTGAGAAAGTTGTGGACTTGGAGCTACTTTCTTCTGGGCTTGGTGCAAAAACAAAGAAATGGGGCTAAGGACTCAAATATACAAGCAGGCTGCAGCCAAAGATTTTTTTTTTTTTTGGAAAATTCAGTCTAATAGTGCGGACCTGTAAGCATAGCAGAAGGCATCAGGACAGCAAGATCCCTTTGCGCCAGTCTCTTGAAAGGTATGAGTGAGCTAATGCACTAGAATCTTGGACGATTTGCTGCCTATTTAATCTCCACATCGGGTATTCAGACTGGGTGTGCCGCTGGCACAATATAAGAATAACCACATCTGCTCAGACAAAGAGCCTATCCAGTCCAACATCTGGCTCTCCACCATGGCTAACCAAGTGCCTGTAGCAAACTCTCAAGTGAAAAAAAATGGATTGTACTCAAATTTCTATTGAAGCAGGAAGTGGGGCATTCAAGGCAGCTTTTGGGGAGAGGGTGCTGAAGTTTGTCCATGCTTTTTACACAATTGTTATCTTGCTTTCAGAGCCAGACAGGAGAGATAACATGAGGGTGGGGGGTAAGCACAGATTGGAGAAGGGTTTGGTAGTTATAACAGCCTGATTGTGAAACATGGCCTTTTGCCCACTCCTCTAGATTGGCCCTGAGTGACATCTCTCAAGTTGACTGTTTCGTTTAATCGCAATGTCGTCAGCTCAGTTCCCCTTGTCTTTTCTGGTGGCTTACAGTTGGTACTATGGTGGTGGGAACCTGAAGTTCTCAAATAATCTTGAGAAATATTTTTGAAACCAGAGATTGATATCTTTCTCCCTCCAGGAATGGTCCCTGGAGACACAGCGGGCGATCAGCAAAAAGGAGAAAAGTGGCAAAACGGGTGAAGATGTGACTTTGACCAGCATTGTACCTGCAGGTGATGGTGTAAAGCAGACCCCTCCACCAACAAAGCAAAGGTGAGCATTGCAGCTTATTTTACAGAATTCTGGAGCAGGCTAGGCAGTTGGTCCTGACAAGGGGCCAACTCATCAAAAATGGAGGAAGAAAGTTTAAAAATTCTACCTTTGTTCTTCTTTGTATGTCCTTGTAAAGTGCAATTTGTACCTGAACCCAGAACTTTGTAAAGTTGAAATAAACTAAATAGTCTACATGAGTAGACAGAGACAGGTTGAAATCTGCTAGTAGATCTCTGCTTTGTAATATATCAGTAAGGCTTACTGACTCCCAATTATTTAACAACAAGAGATGTAAAAGGTCATCCTAAATTAGAACACTGAAGTGCTTGGATAGAAACCAGGGATGATTTTATGATGGAAGAACCATCAGTTTAGTTCTGGTGCTGAGGACAAATTCCTGTGCTAACTGCACGCACAGAGGTACTTATTTCTAAGTATATGGCTTCCTGTGTGCCAAGATTTTTTTACTTGGGTCCAGTTGATAGAAAAGAGGCCTGTGTCCACCTGGCATGTAGATCTCGTTAGACCAGCTGGAGCTAGTGCTAGTACTATACATCTCCTGTCTTCCATGCTTCTGTGTATCTACTTCTGTTGCTGTATCCCTTAACAGCGGGGTTGCTGCTGTTGCTGACACTGGGAAAGAATTCTTACTGGAATACCTGCAGCCCTGGATTCTTACTCTCTTTTCCCTAGCTAAAGAAACCCTGGCCATCTGGCCACTCTCCCCAAAGGATTCATGTTAGCCCTACCCTGAAGCTGGTGCATACTAATTTTCTAGTCTTCATAGCAGAGTGCTGTGCATCCAAAACCTTGCTGAATGTAGTAGTAAGGTTGCTGTTGACAGGAGATTACAAAATGGAAAAGGGCACAGGGGTTTTTGATCTCCTGCAATTTGCCCCTAATAATTAACACAATAGAGTCAAATATCCCTGGAGCAAGGGGACTGTGGCACCATCTTATCTTCATTTCCCAGTTTAAAGGGCTGATTTGCCAATCCACAGGTTCTCATACCAAGAGGAACAAAACAACCACTTCTATGACACCCTGAGGGCTTCAGCCTGTGTGAAGTTAGTATACAACAAAGATTTTCTAGGTTTTCTGTCCTCTTGCTTTTCCTTTGCCATACCTCCTTAGTACTTTCTACTTAAGGAAATAAGCACTATACCACACTCTGCCTTTTCCCCTCTGCAATGGACATGGCCACCTTGTCCCTTCTATCTGACATCACTTGGAACACTTTAACGTGATTCTTCAGAATTGAACAAGATCACCAGAAAGATGGAGTAGTTGAAAGCTGTCAGTTCTGCTAGTTTTCTTACCTTTTTCAAGCAAAGCTACTGGTGATTTAAGTGGGATATTACTGTCTTTCATCTTTATTGCACTTGTTTCTTATATGGTTCTATTAGTAGAAAAATGCATGATAGGTGGTGGAGGGGAGAGCCCCTTCTCAAATGTTGTGAACTTGAATTTTAAATTGCTTTCATTCCCCATTCTCCCTCCCCCCCATTCCTTGCATAGTGGAGGGAAGGAAGAAATCTTAGAGTGGTCAGATGAGGACACTCCCAAGAAGTGCCTGGAAGTCAATGGGCATGAGGAAGACATAAAGGTACCAGGTGTGCGGGTGCGAGCACTATATGATTACACAGGACAAGAGGCTGATGAGCTGAGCTTTAAAGCAGGTACAAATGCACTAACCTTCTAACTTGCTGGCCATTGTGTTTAGTGGCTGATGAATGACAGATTCCCAGCAAGAGCTGGATGGCCCCAGGGCTTTCCTCACCAGGCACTTAAAGAGTTCTGAAAGAACATTCCAGTAACGGAGTCATTTACAAAAGGAGTCAACAGTATGCTAAGGAACTGGAGTGGGATAATGACGCACTCTGAACTGTAAGGAATTGTGGAAAATACATTTGTGCAATACATGCCACTCCAAAGCATTTCTAGAGTGATGGGAAAAGACATGGACTTGCTTGGACGAATTGCTGTGAGGAATATCTGTGAAGGAGGTTCGCAGTTGCTTTGAGCTACAATTGCTGAGGCATCCCATGCACAGCTGGGCCATGTCTTGACCACTGGTGTTCCTTCTAACAGTGATACAAGTGCCAGGGCACCAGGATTCTGGCTCCTGGTACTGAAAGTAAGCCAAACATAAGAAATACAAAGCAAAGTGTACTGTCTAAAATGGAAATAAGAAACTAGAAACCTTAATCAGGAGCCTGACCAACCTTAGAACTGAGTGCCCTAGGTGTGTAATCGGATGAAGAGGTAGTCATCTGTTGCCTCCAAACACTCCTGCTCCTCTAGATCGCTGAGTGTTTGTTAGCATGGAAGTGGTAGGCTTACAGGAGGTAGAAAGTGCAAGTTCAATGGCCAGATTTGCCCCATGGGTGGCCCAATCCAGCCTGCTATTTGGTGGTTTCCTGTATCTTTCTAAAATATCAAACTGTCTATCCTAACACTTAGTTACCAGCAGTAAGATCCTTAAACTAAAATGTGCAGGCACTTTGAGCCCTGCCCACCACTGGCATCTGGCCCCTGAGAGCTCCCTAAAATGGAATGCAAAGGCTGAAAGTGTTTCTGAATTCATGTGTGGCCAGTGGCTACAGATTGCCTTGCCATGTCACTAATCAAAATAGAGTATGCTTAATTAAGTGCCTGCCTTGTGATTTTTGGTAATCTAATCCTACTCAGAGAGGAAATTTGCCTGCCGTTCTAAATCTACTGGAGGAAAGCAAAAGAACACACATGCATAGGGGCCATCTGGATCTTTGACGTGCTTCATTCATGCTTTTCATAACATTTTATTTTGCAGAAATTTGAACTTTTCTTTTTGCAGGTACTAAAATCATTCATACACAACACTGGGATTGCATGAAGCTTGTAACTACCTTGTTGTGTTGTCACTATTAAATGCTTGTAGTACTAATTTATTTTGGTTTGATGTCCCTGTAACGACATAATACAACTGGAATACCATCGGAAATTGTAGCATGAATGTTAGGAGATGATGGGATGGGAAGTGGAACCAAGCTACTTTTGGGGTGCCATTTGTATATTCCCTAGTTTGCCAGTGTAATAGCAGATTTACAGTGAACCAGTGGCTATCAGATTGCAAAATTCTTCTACCCTGTATTTTCCTGCTTGTGTATTTCCCTACTATTCTCAGAGGGAAAGAAAAGAAGGCAAGGGTTACTGAATTTTTAACTCATAGTTTGCGTCAAAGCTTACTGTATATGGCACTAGCTAATCAGATTGGCTACTAGTTAAAGAACAGTTTGATCAATATTAACACTGCAGGCTCCATAGCATTTGCTCAAAGGCTTACAGTATCTCGATCACTCCTGTTTTTTAAATATTGATACACAATTGCATACTTTCTCCATATAAATTCCATTCTAACTTGCAACCATTATTGTTAACACACTGTGACACCGGCTATCCCACACTGGCAAACTAAAAGATAGGCACTTTTCCCTGTTATTAGGAACTATCTTTAATTTTAGAATTAAATTGAAAATGTTCTTGAATACAAATATGGAGCAAGTACCCCTGGTTTTTTCAGTGCATTCTCTGGGATTGTTACACCTTTTTTCAGGTGGTTTTTAACTTCACTAATCACTGTGCTTGAATTCTGCATGGCTCACCGTATACCAGGCAGTTGACCGAAGCATCAGTCAATTGAGGATGTCATGAGCACTGGACAGGGCAACATTATCAAGGAAACTTCACCTGGCTGTCTATGCCTAAATGCCTTAAGATGCTTCTCTGTAAAATGCCTTTATTCCAGTAGGTCACTGTCTTAGGCCTGTATGAAGAATGGAGGCTAACATTTGAGACTAAATTCACAAATTCGGAAACAAGCTTTTTTTAGTAGGCCTGACTTCAAATAAACATGTTAAGGGGGTTCACTTGCTGGCATCTCTTGAAGGCAGAAGGGAGATTTCCTTCACTATAATGCAATGGAGGGAAAGCTTTTTCTGCTAGCTCCATATTCCCTTGGAGGTAATCTGTGGGGATGCGTGCCAGTGGTTGGCAAGGCCAGAGGCCTGCTGTCTCTGTCACACTTAATCTTCTTGCTCCTTCTCTCTGCCCAGTAGGCTGCTGTGGGAGGGGCAGATAATTCTCACTAGAGGTCTGAATGGATCACTTGCAGAGCAGTTTCCTAAACACCTTCCATTTCTCTGCCTGCATTGGCTTTTCCCCTACCATACGTCTGAAATTATCACTTGTGGAGGAATCCCCTCAGCCTTTGCTTCTTTTGCTCTTACACTGTTTTTCTCTTCTTTGCCTCTGGGTTGTTTTCACTTGCATGAATCCAAGCTAAGGGCCTGACAATCACTAGTTGCCCACTATAGTGAATACCTGAGGCACTGAAAAGAATTGGGGAACTTTTAGTACATTTCCTTTATTCTGGGTTTTTCTTCCTTTAGGGGAAGAGCTCATGAAGATCAGTGAAGAGGATGAACAAGGCTGGTGTAAAGGCCGGCTTCAGACCGGTCAGGTTGGACTGTATCCTGCTAATTATGTTGAAAAGGTCATTTTGTGATCATTTTCCCTCGCAACAGCCAGCTGAAGGTGTGTATCCTGCGTGCAGATTTCCTAGAGGTCACCAGGCCACTGGCCTCCAACTTGCATCAAAAACTATGTGCAACTTTCTGGACCCTTTTGAGGACTCTCTTTTCTTGTAACCAATACATTTTAAGCATATAGAAACATGGTGATCTTTTTTCTAATAAAGAGAGAGAAAATTTTTTGAATCTGTGTGCTATAGGATAGGTGGAAAAGAATCCATGAACAAAATGCCTACACTGTTTCTTGTGGGAATGGGTAGTTTTTAAGCAACCTAATAATATGTTCTCTTGCTAGTGAACAAATTAAAAACAAAGATTGTATCATTGTTCACCTTTCCCCCAGCAGCTGTTGCCATAAGAGTGTATATTGAGAGAGATTTAGAAACCAGCTGCAGAATAGCAACTCTCCTTATTCCTAGATTAGGGAAAAACTAGCCCTTTTAACTGCATGCCCAATATCACTTCCAGCCAATTAGCTTGCATTTTCAGTATTAACTTCTCTCACATGCAAACAAGGTATCAGGAAAGCTAAAACTATTAAGGGTGCAATCCTGTCACCCTTGACCACATTTTCAACTGTCTAGTTACAGTGCCAGGGAGGCTGCAGGAAGGAAGAACTGGTATCTGGAGGTGGCCTAACCCTCCTCCCTTGCCCATCCTCCAAAGCCCCCCCCCCTTCTCTGAGATGCATTTCTTCTCTTAATGGCAGCTGGTGTAGTTTTTTTACAGAGGTTGCAAGCAGGTAAGTGGGGTGGCTTGACCTCTGGAGTCACAGCATGGAGGCCTCATGACCTTGGTGCTGAGATTCCAAAGACACATACAGCTGCCCAGGAATGCATACTAAAGAAGCTTAACCATGGTTTGGTGTGATGTCTGACATGCTAAGCCATAATTAATGCAAACCATGGTTTTCTAAGTCACTGCATACCATAGTTTCTGCTTTGCCAGATGTTTGCACACTCTGGTTTCACAATTCAGACATTACATCAAGCCATAGTTTCCTTAATGATTTCAAATGCGCTTCAGCTGTAAACTTCTCAGACATTCAAGGGATATCCAGTAAATAGTAGTATTGTGTTTACATGGAGATTTCAAAATGTGTTAATTGGCAAACCATGGTTGGCTCTTGGTTTGATAACTTGCTTGCACAAACCAGTGTTCCCTATAATCAAAGGAAATGCAAAAACTGGTGTTACAAGCTAAGAATTGAAATTTTAAGTCTCTTCTCACTACATTGTAAGACTGTGTGTGGTTGTGTGTTTGAAAAAGCTTTCTTAATGCAAGGTAATGGGAGCATGTGGAGAAAAATTGAGTAAAATTAGGGGTTGCAGGAATGAAAAATAACATAGTAAGGAAATCCTCAACTATGCCACAAACTGAATCTGTCTAGTCAGAGCCTATTTTGACAGTGAATTGTTGGGAACTAGTACATAATTTGTTGGCAAACCAGATAACTACACTTTTTGTTTTAAAGTAGCTCCAGCAGTATTTTGTGGTGCTTAAGGACAGTCTGAAATATTCTTGTTGGACAAAAAAAAGTATGTCTTCTTTTAAGTATGCTTAGTTGTATTGTAGAAGCTTCTGCTTCCAGTGCATCAGGATATGAATCATTGATATTAAGCCTGGTTGCACTGAAGGTCAGAAGATTTTATAAAATCTATAATTAAAGCTAGGGTTCAGCTTTCCAGAATTAGGTGTGGTGAAGTCATGTTGCTGTATTCACACTTGTATGAATTTATGACTTGACAAACTCAATGTCCTGTGGACACTCTTGCCACATGGAGTAAGGAGATAGATGGGGGAACAAGCAATAATAGAATACAGTACAGTACATGGAGCAATTAGCTTACGGTTGAGGAAGGTTTTTTCTTTCGATGCTGCAGCAGCAAAATCCTTTGGACATCTAACAGCAATACTGACCACCATCTGTATCAGCTTGCACTGGAAAAAGAATGCCCCACCCTCCCCACACATTCACTGACACGGAAATATAGGACAGTGAGTATATGCAGGAAGCAGCTTTATACTGCTACAGCAGAGACACTGCGGTGTTACAATATGCAATTCCTTCTCTGAATACAAAGAAGAAAAAGTAGCTACCATGACACCTTTCTGAAAATGGTGCCTAGCATATTCCACTGCTGGTTTGAAACAAGAGTAGGGACTAAATTTGTTATGTATGTGGTAGCAGATGTTCATTTCCTATCAATGTGGATCTCCTGTGCTGGATCAAGGCACATGTGAATGGAGATGCCAGTGTATCTTCCAGAACCATTTGAGGGAATGTTTGCAGTTGCATCGATTCCACAAAAGGAACAGCACACACGGCCTTCCTCGCTATATCATAGTCTAGCTGTTAAAAGCTGTCTTTTCCTAACATTTCCAAACAGGCCTGCAGAGCTATTTTATAGAATGCCATTGTTTGGGCATTGAAGCATACAGGGCTGGGTCCATGGCAATCTTGCCAGAACTTGCACAGATCACTGGTTTCTTTTGTAGCAGACACACTTAGTCTCATGGCCAGCTTTTTGCAACAGGTGCAAGTCTGTTGAAATCCTGAGCACAGCTGTTATATCACGTAATCTCTCATTCCTCTCCTGTTTACTGACCTGGCCAAGGCCTTAACCACTTCATTCTGGACTATGCTTTTCTACAGCCAAAGGTCAGAGCTGTGCTCCAATCTGGGCTGCTGCTTTGCTTCTACAGAGCAGGGTGGGGCTAGGCTGGCTATAGAAATGTTTCAATAGCACAAATGGTAATGGTAGGAAACACCAATTACAGCTGGAAGGGTGAACAGTTAGAGAAAGTATAGTGGCATTCTGGAATTCCAGGGTGGCATGGAACTGAAAACAGTGAAGCAGGCTTCTTCTCTGAGGAGTTACTGGTAGAGATTTTTCTAGCTATCTTCTCCCTTTCCTTTCTTGCTTGTTCAACATCCAGCCTGATAAACGGTTTGGAAGAACTTGAATGCTTGCTTACTGTTTTGTGACAGCTGAAAAAAGGTACTGCCTGACCATGGGTATGAGAAGGTAATGGTTTAAATCAGCCTTTTGGGTGGATTTATATTTTATTTGAAAAACATATGTGCCACTGTTTATTAAAATATCATGATGATGATAGCAGAAAGGAAGCACAGATCTCATACAGTGATTCAGTTTTCTAACACATACGGCTCTGGAGCTGATTGACTTCCTTTCCAGTAAAATGTTGTTTGTTTTACTTTCCCAGATCTTGGGAATGTTGGAATAAATACCAGCATTTCTGTGGCATCTGCTATGATGGCAGTGGAGTAATTGATGTGCTTCAGCAAATTTAGGCTTCTTGCCCTTCAGCTGTTCTATAAGGACAGAGCACAATTTTTAACACAAGGGGAACTTACTCATCTGCTTGTATAGCACCACCAATAATCACTTTTTCTTCCAGTTCATTTGAGTCCCACTCATTTCCAGTAGCTCTCCCAACAGAATGTGACAGAAGGGAATCAATAAAAAATTGCATTTGGAAACAGACAAATTATTCAAAGGTCATTTTGCAAAATGTGCTGTAGTTCATCCAGGACCATTTGAAACCCGGTCAATTGCTTCAGGCAAAGTTTGACTCTGAAGCTGAGTCTTTGGCTGTTCTACCACTCCAAAACAATCACAGCTCTCTTCTGGTGATAAATTAACCATACATCCAAGCTGGGTCACATGATTTAGGTTTCCTAGACCATGCAATAAAAACTCACCTTATATGCAGCTTGGAGAAGCTGCACCAAGGGAAACAAATGCTTTTCTAGTAACTCGTGACTGCCTCTGGATCCAGTAAGCTGTTTCTTTCCCTGATGAGATGGCAAAATCCCTTAAGTTTATACATTCTATAAAATGATGCACCTTGGAGTCACCACCCACATAGCATTTTCACTTGAAAAGCTGGCTCCGTCTTCATGTCAGTTCAGCCTGCATCTTCCTTTCTCCGTTTTCCAAACACAAAGGGCTGATTGCACACTGGCCTCAAGACTACCTCGTTGTTTTCTGTGAGCTTGTGCTATACGAGGTACCCCTTTTCTTCCCTTAATTATGCAATCACTAGCAATTTGCAGTCTGCCATCTTCAGAGAATTGTGTACCATTCTGTGAGTCCAAGCATTTGCTGGGGCCAGTGCCTTCTGGAGCAGTTTGTATCCCCTGCACTCTGCTTATTACTGGTCTTCTTCACAGAGCTACTTGTCTGAGCCACGGGTGTGGATTGTGATCCTTGTGCTCCCTTGAACCAAAGTTCTAAAAATGTTCGCACAAGTTCCTGCAGCAAGGTGACATAATGATTGGAAACCAGAGTGTTGCTCTCAAAAAGGTGATTGACTAGGGATGAGAAAAGATCAGGTTCCTCACTCACATCTGCCAAGATGGCCAGCTCCTGTGCTAGACACCAATGGTGGCTGGAGTCCCCGAAAAACTGGGAAGGGAGGCCAACAATCTGCTTTGCGCTACGGATCACTCTCTGTACAGACTTTGCTGGGAGATGCTTTCCTCTCTTGCTCTCCACAAACATCAGAGCGCTGCCTGTAGACACCCCCTGACAAGGGCACAAGAGGGCAACACGGCACTCAGCACAGGATAAGCGTGGTAGCAGTTTTTCCAAAACAGCACAGGAAATGTAGGTGACTGTGTCTTCTTCTATCTCAGCCAGAAAGGCTGGGTCTAAAACTGCACTGTTCATATCTTGGGGAAGGCAGTTGTGCCAATGCAACTGCCAAATCTGCCTTTGCCCCAGAGGCCATGAGGCCTGCAACTGGAGGCTAGTCCGTCTACATAAAGATATGTCTAGTAGATTTGGTGGATCAAGGCCCAGGCCAGAAACAGCTCGGTTTAAGACAAGCCTGTAACCATGCTGGAAATCTGATGCTATGGAAACGCCTTTATGCCCACATGCTTGCCTTATGGCTCCCCTGCACCACTCCAGAGGATCCAGACTCCACCAACATGGGAGCAAATAAGCTACTGGGCTATCTTCTGCTTGTAGATAGGTCTGTGCTACCCACTGCAAGCTGCGCAGGTTCACCAGAAAGCCAAGAAAGCCCCATCGATGCTTACTCGGCCAGAGTAACTTCCCAGTGGCAGTGCGCAGTTTGCGAAGCAGGTTCTCATACTCGTTGCAGAGATTGTTAAGGGCATCCATACTGGCAAGGGACAGTGGGGCCTTAAAACCTTTCCCATTGGCATTCCAGCTGTTGCATGCATCAAAAACAGCACTCAGCAGTCCAATCAAGTGGGTGGTTGCCTCATGACCCTGAAACTGGGGCAGGCCTAGCCTAGCTGCCAAATGCAAGGCCTGAACAGTGGCCTCACTAAACAACTGTGCAGTGCCATTTCCCCACACCCGTTGCTCCTGTAGGTGGATTCCACCAGCCTGGCAGGCTGCCCAAAGAACCTCTGCTTCCTGCAGACCCCCCAGATGCAAGAGGTAGTCCCAGCAGACAGCCTTGCCACTCACCTGGAGAGTGCCACTGGCTTGGAGCAAGTTGTGAATCAGGGTGAGCAAATGGCTGGGGTCAAAGTAGTAAGCAATTTCCAGAGTAGGGGTGGCTGGATGGAAAAATGTGGACTTGACAGTGACACCATCGACTAGCACTCCCAGCTGCCTGGCTGTGTCAATATTGGGACACGTAGCATCAGATGTCACAGAGATAACCTGCACACCGATGTCATACAGCTTGAGGATACAGTGGCGCAGGAGCTGGGCCTGTGTATCACCTCGAAGGGTAGGAAGGAGGAAGTAGCCAAGGGGTACAATCCATTGACCTTGGAAACCAACAGCCACCAAAAGGAGGGCTTCTGCTGCACCTAAAACCTCATCCGCATCATACTTTCCAGCACCAAAGTCCACCAAACCTTGCAGAGTTCTTGTGGAAGGGTCAAAATGGATTTTCCTCTCCAGAGGCATTGTGCCAATAAGGAGCGAACACATCTTGAAGGCCTGATCATCTGCCTTAGATCTTTCTGCCAATGTATCAAAAGCCTGTTGGCTCAATCCTGGCTTGAAATCTGGGTTTGAAAGCCATCTATGACAGAAGAAACAGGGAAGAAAGGTAAGAGCTCAATGTTCACTTTGGATAAAACTTCTACTAACAAGTCTCAGAGACATAAAAACAGTTAGGATGAAGAATCTAGGTGGATTCTGCTTTTATCCTGTAGTTCTCTTTGCTGTATTTGAAATCAAGAAAAACAGACAAAAAAGAATCAAGTATATGGGCAAACTTGTTTTTGCTCTACCTACCTCAGTAAACAAATGAAGGGCCCCATACACTGAACTGGTCCACACATTATGACAATCCTGAGTTTAGGTTGAGTATGTGCTCTCACTGAGTCATGAGTTGTTGAATTTTGGGTTATGTGTGAACCCTGCACTATGGTTTAACTACAGGCTAAGTACAACCTACCCAGAGCTCTTAGCAGATTCTCTTCCCATAATTCAACAACAACCAGTGCTCCGTTTATATTCTGAATTGTTGTTACATGCAAATCAGGACACTAAATTATCAGTGTGGTTTTGTTCTACCAGCACTTCTGGCAAAATTAGCCTTGGTCGCTTCGCTAAAGCTCAGTATAATCTGGATAAATGCTCACATGGAAGGATGAACAGGAAAGAACTTGCCCCTGTGCAAGGGACTACATTAAATGAAAGGGAAGTGAGCTTGTTGCCCAAGAGTCATCACTATTGTCCAACAATAGGATATGCTTCATGTCGTCTTCTGCATGCCAATGGGTTTATTTCTGTGCTGTCCTTTACATCATAAGGACATTTCTATCTTTCCTGCTTTCTGCATAGATCTAAACTATGTGCAAATTGTTTTTCCTACAACTTTTGCTCTATAGAATAGAACTGTAAATAATCTCAGGACACATACTATCCATGCATGGAAACCCATTACTTCCAATCCCTTACATTTCTATCTTTTCTTTGGGGCAACTGAGTGCTTGGCTGGAAGAGGGCTCATTTTCCAGACAACAATGTTGAATAAACTTATCTAGAATAGAACTAGTCCCATTGAGGATAGTGGGGCATATTTCTTAGTAAACACTGAGAGAATTGCACAGTTGCCTACAACTCCCTACACTACACTACACTCTAGCTTTATCAACTAGCAGTTATAAGTGAACTGTCCTTCCTTCTGTTTCCTTCTCATCACAGCATTGCTAAAAAATCTGATTTCATTTCACTCTCAACTCAATGGAAATCTGAACTCAAGCACTTTTCTTCTTTCCATCTGTCTTTGTCTTTCTCTCTTTCTAATCAGTACAGTACTGCATCTTTCCAGGAGACTTCCAGAAGAGTAGCCATTTCAGAGCTTATCAAACAAAAAAGAGCCCTGAAACACTGTAAGGATTAAATCCTTACATTCACCCCAATGTGTCTTCTTAAGCATGAGTCATTTTTCTCAATTGCATTTGACAAAGTAAGCTTTTTTTTAACAAAAGCTCATGCTGCAATAGTCTTCGCAGTACCATAAGAGTCTCTCTTTTTCAGGATGTTATACCCCTTTCTATCTCAGACATCCAGCCCTAAACCCAAATGGTATATTCACATGGTTTAAGAATTTTGCATTTCTGGTGATGTACCTTTTTCCCAGTGTTGTAATTTTGATCAAGCCTAAGTTGCCATAGGTGCGTGGGAAAAGATAAGGTTTAGTCAGTTGCCTAAAACTCAGCAGAGTAGGTGTTTGAGGAATCTTTGATGGTAACACATTCCATGCCTGAAGTGCCTCCATAGAAAAAGCCCATCTCCTTGCAACCTACCCCTAACCTCCTTAGGGGAAGGAAAGTCATCTCAGTTAACATAAAGAGTTTCAGAAACTAGCAAGAATCCAAACCTGCGCAAAGCGCTGGGCTCCGGCAGTTGGAATGTCCTCTTCATGAAGTCATAGGCCTTGGCTGAGAACAAATGCAGTGAGACTGCAAAGTTGCGAGTGTCAGCTGGGTAGTTCTCACACTGGACTCCCTCACACTGCAAACTGAGCTGCAGATCTGCTGAAGCAAAGAGGAGTTCCTCAGGTAAGGGCCAAACACTGACCGGATGGAAGTTGTGAAGGTCATGCTGAAGTGGATGAGTTTCCAGCACTGGCCTCGACACAAACTCTGCTGTGAGCAGAAAAAGCCCTTCAGAGGATCCCTCCCCCCAGCCACTGAAAACCTTGCCAGTTTTCTTCTGTGGCTGAAACACATTCCCATTGTGGTTGCAACCAGTTCTCCACTCCACATTCTGGAAGGAGTCAAGATACACTTCTTTCTTCAATTCCTTTGGTTTTTAAGGTTATTTCTAATGCTTTACTATGCTTTCATTTGACTATAGATTATACTTCTGAAACTTTTTTTAAAGCACCTTGATTTGTATAGAAACTTGGTCACTCCACTCAGTCCATAGTTCAACATGGGGGCTGAAAGCAGATTCAACATCCTATTCTCACAGGAGGAAAGTATATACATATTCAGCAAAGACTGGGGAGATCAGAGAAGAAAGTACTTAAAGTTGTTAAGATACTCAAGAGCCTGGAAGGGTAGAGGCATGGGCAATCATGAAGGGGCTAGCAATCTTTCAGTGGCTTACAGAACACAACCAGACATTAAGAGACTCTGATAAGGTCATCTTGACCAAGCCCAGTGCCTCAGTCTTGCTCTGTATTACAGTCCCTCCTTGAACCCTGCAAGATTCTGGAACAGCAATGATCTTCCAAACTCTGGCACAAAGGAGAGCCATTCTGAAAGGCTTACAGATCCCCATTCCCTGGCTCACCACCAAACTGTGATTTCAGCATACGCTCGGTATCCTCCTGGAGGAGATGCTGTTCCCGCAATCTCTCCAGCATACTCCACAGCTCCTGCTGGTAGTAAGAGAGGCGGCGCTGGGCTGCATCCTGCTCCCGTTCACTCCCCAGCACTGGGTCAGGGAGGATGAAAGTGCCATCCATAGGTTCACTCAGACTGTACTGATGTTCTGTTTGGATAAGTTCCACCTGCAGGGGACCAAAGAGATCCCACACTGGTCTGTCAGTTCTGCTACCATAACTCCCATGTCCTTACTTTCCAGCTTTTCAAGAACATCGCTGTTTTTTCCACAGGGCTGCTTTAGCTTATACTGAAAACCCAAATTTATTGTCTGTCCCACCCATCTGCTTTACCTGGATTGTCCTTTAGCTCCTCTGCCAAAGCCTTCTCAAATTCCCTCCATCACATTCAGAATATTTAGCATGTACTGCCATCACTTTTTAAAGATTATTTTCAGGATACTATCTTGGGAGCTGTTCTGCAGTTTGCCCCATGAAAGGGCTGGGCAAAAGATTTCCTGGCTGTGGGTTTTTTCCCAGTGCCTATGGAAATTGGAGCTTGCGCTGGCCAAAGCATTAGCTAATCCTTGCCAGTATGTACGTACTGTTTTGGCTTGTGCTGGAGAAGGTTCAGCTGTTGAGGTTGCTTCCCTGGTACTTGCTGCTGGCCTACTGATGCCCATGGCTTTAAGAGACTTGGAGGGATGCTGCCCTTTGGTTGGTTCCTGTATTGAGAAAAAGAGTTCAATCAGTTAGATCACTATTCGTCTAAGCGAAAGAAAGGCCTGGCTAAAACCCACTGAACAAACTAATGCAGTACAATGTAAATGCAGACAGATGACAAAAACCAACAGTAATCCTACAGTAATATTGGAACTGCTAATTACATTTCACTGTACATAATAGCTTCAGGCCATTTATAGGATTTTATATCCTATAAAATGGCACATTACTCACCGAGAGGCAAATCAAGAATTCAAATACACAAAACGCATGTGTAACATAATCTTCCCATGAAAATCCCGCTTTAGAATAAAGGTCAGGTATTACATACCTCTAATTATCCATTGATAACAAAAATTCACTGTGCTTTTAGAAAAAGTTTATATCCTCAGATTGTTGCTTTATAATACTGTGTTTTTATTGCATGTTCATTTTATGCTGTAAACTATCAACAGAGCAATGTTACCTGACATATCATTGTTAATAATAATAACAATAAAAATAATGATAATGATGTAACAACAGCACAATAACATTGTAGGCTTCTCCCTGATGTGCTAGTTTTCCAATAGGAACAGAGTTTTTAAATCTGTGATCTGAAATGACAAAATTGGATGACAGTTTTAAATTTGCCTTCTCCCAAATACAAGCTCTCAGGCACTGAAAAAGAAAGGGATAAACCAGTTATAGACTAACTTTTTGCTGGAATCTTTAGGTTAATATGAGCTTTCCAATGATACAGAATTCTTACATTATCAATGTAAGTATATAGCCTACAGGTTGTAGGTGGCTACACATCATACACTTGGAGCAGAAATTGGAATAGGAACTTCTCAGGTCTGACTTGCTTGGAGCTCCAAGCTGGCCTCTGGGATTCCCCAGGGAACCCCACATCCTTCCACTGACTGCAAAGCAGCAGATAGTACCCAATACTGTCATTTAGTAGTTTCCTGGCTTTTGTACTTGCATTTTTCCTATTCCAAAGGACTGAACTGCCTCTTCTAAGAAGCTGTAAGGTAAAAAAGGACTCTACAACCTTTGCCTTCAGCCTCACCCCTACCACTGCAATGTGGCCCCTGAAGAACATCTCTAAAACTGAAAGTGGCCCTTAGGCTGCAAGAGGTTGATGCCCCTGCCGTAATAACCCAGCCTGCAACAAAGCTTAGGCAACCAGAACTGAAACAATCATGTATTGTTTCCGCATTTAGCTGCCCCTGCTGCCTTCATTTCCTTCCTCTTTGCCTGTTGCTCTCCCTATCAATTTGCAGCCTGCAAGTTCCTCATGGTAGGGACCTGTCCTCTGGTATTCTGCAGTGTCCACACATGCTGGTGGTGCAATAACAACAGCAATAATAAGCCACTTTATTCTTCCCAATGAAAGGCTTTCTGAAAGCTGAAAAGTTGGATGGTCCTACAAGAATGCTCTAGCACAAGATCACCAACTTTCCTAGTTTAGATGCCAAAAGGATGGTGCAGACCGGGATGGTCCAGCACAGAGCACCAGAGGCCTTGTTCTGCAGCCCTCTTGCTGCTTGGAGCTCACCCCCGCCCCACCATTCCCCCGAGTCCTGATCCCAGCTATGGCACAGGTGTGATTCCAGAGATTTCTGATTCAAGAGCTCACCCCAGCATGCCCTGCCCGCTCCTGCTGATGAGTGCAAAGACGCTCAGAAGCTTAGAGCAGGAGCTCAGAGTAGGCAGAGCACACAGGTGTACAAGGAACTGCCCATGCTGAAAAGCTGGCTTAGCTGCAAGGCTTTATAGGGCCTGCCATGTCCTTCTTGGCTGAAGGACATCAACTAGCTGAACTGAAGCAGTGACATCAATGGGTTCAATTCAGGCTGGAACTACAGCCTAGAGGGCAACCTATTCCTGGAGCCAGCCAGCACAGCCCGGTTTCCTTCCATGTATTCTGCATGTCAACTCCCACTGGTCCCAGTTAGCATGGTCAGGAGCCAGGATTATGGGAACTGTAGTTCTCAACATCTGGAGAGCATCAGGTTGACAACAGGCCATGGGCATACAGTCTTGACCACTTGGCTCCTGAAATACAAGGAGGCACAGGAGGGAAGGTGCTCGCCAGTATGCCCAAAGCATACTTCTTCATACAGTTAGTCTAGTCCTAAAATCATTTTAAAATTATACTGGTTTTCTCCCTCAGTTAATTGTTAATTAATTACATTGTGTATATTAAATTAAATAAATATATTGCAAACACCTTAATTTACAGTATGGAAATATAATTCATTGTGTGGCTCCCAGGTTCTGTGTTGAAGTCCTCGTGCCACCCTCAAGTTATGAAAAGTTGGACTACCTCGTGTAGACTATTAGTAGTAGACCTTTAAACAATCCTTGGAATTCTGATTTTCTTTCCCATCAACATTAGATAACAATCTATCTTAACCCAGGCACTAAGCAAAACACAAGGTACACCCTAGAAAGTGCTACAGAAATCCACAAAAAGGCAGGATCAATTACAGCATTAAAAAAACACTAATGAAAACAGAAAAACCTTAGGCTTTTATTTTAAAGCATACAATTTCCCTTGCCACTTTCCACAAAATCACAGGGGAAACATATCCATCTGGGCAGCTGTCTTTTTTGTTATAGGACTATGGAAGTCCTCCAAATCTGTGGAAGGCCAGGAGAAGTGCTGAAAAAATCAAACTACAAAAGTACCTCAAAGGCTTCAATTCTAACCTACATTATCTAGAGAGTAAGACATACTGGACACAGTAGAGCTGATGAAGGAAACATGTACAGGAATATGTTGAAAATTATTAATAGGGGAATGTGTAACCAAGGATGCAAACACTACAGTAGGTCTTTCTCTGGGAGCATGTCAACTGAAATGTAGGATATAATTTTCAAAATAATGTAAATAAATATTTAAACCCTTAAGATTTTCATTTAAAATTGTATAATTAAATCAGTATCCACTCCCAGCTGACTACACCTTACACCTGAATTTGACAAATTTGCTTGATCTCCATTTCCCTCCCTTTCCTTTGTTCTTACATGTTTTACCTTTGTTGTTAGATTCAGCAAGGTACCAACAATACTGTACAACACTTAACATCCATTCAAGCACTTTAATAAATAGTTCCCCAGTGTACATTGCTCCTGAACAGCCTTCTGATGCAGACTAGACTGGCTCATGTCCACTTCTTATCACTTTTGTTTTTATACAGCAGACAGAGCTGAAGTTTCCAAACTAAATGCTTGTATTTAGTTGCATAAAAACTCTACCCTTACATTATATTTGTGTATGATGCATTCATGCCAGGCAACATTCTAGACATCCTCTCTTGACTTGTTCCTATTATGTACCTGAATACAAAGGTTCTTTTCCGATTTCCCTCATCACAATATGATCCCTTATTTCAGCAGAGATGTCAGAGAATGGCAAAATGTACTGGCATTCAACCACCTTTTCATATTCCTAGTCCTTTTGTGGGGAAAGGGAATATCTGAAAAAATGGAAGTTGAACCATTGTTCTTTTCTCCCCTTCTTTTGAATTGCTCTACATTCGGCATTTATTGCACACTCACTGTTCCCTAATCATGATTGTTTTGCAGGTTCTTTAGATAACTTGACTCTTTAGTTTTACTGGTACTTTTAGACAGCACTTTGAACAAGTTTTTTAGAACTGGGGAAAAGGCAGTATTATTAAAAGAAGACAAAAGAAAATGCTATCTCCATTTGTGTAATTGTCCTATGCCGCAGTGCCACCTAGCAGTTATGTGGCAGAAAAGCAGGAAAATAAACGCTCTTGGTGTAGTGCTTAGCTCTCAATTCTGTGATTAAACCAAAAGTAGATACATCTGATTAACAGGCCTTGACAAGTATTTGTTCTCCATCTCTCGTACACACACACAAACTCATGCTCTACCTAAAGCCCAAGCCCAATTTCTATTCATCCTTCTGTGAGAGCACTGTACTTTTCCTCTTTGAACATAAGCTGACAAGTTTAACTAGCTCTACTCCTAATCCTTTTTTCTTTCCCAAGCAGCTTTTGGCAATGCCTTTTCCCTGCTCATAGTATCCATGTTCCCCTCTTCAATTTGAATCCTTACAACTGTTTATAGTAGATTTTATAATGGAAAATGTTTCTATACACACACTGGGCTTCAAAGGCAAATAGGGAAACACTGCAACTTATATTTTTTAGTCATGCAATCATTCCATTGTAATGGATCCTGAAGGTGGCCATAGTTTCCTTAATGGGAAGGAAGGAAAAACTGCAATAATTAAGATTGGCAGGTTTGAACTGGACCAGAAACTACTTTTAGTAGAAAATCAAGCAGAGGAGTGAGCAATTTGTGACAGTTTTGGCTCCCATCATCCCTCACAATTGGCTATGCTGACTAGGACCAATGGCTACAGTAATGTAATGTTTTAGTTCTCCTTGATTTTTTTCTCATTTCATGAAGTTTCTTTGTAAAACTGATTGTGTGCCAACTGCAAATACAGCATTACTGAAACTCAGCAGTTTCAATGATTCAATCAATGGATCTGCCTTTAGGAAAATGTAGTTTAAAAAAACCATGAGGATCTTACTGTGAAGAGGGTAGAAATTGTACCACTCCCTTTTCACTAGCAAAGATCACTTGTGCCTTTGGTTTATGTTGGTAGCTCGTCTTTTCACTGCTGCCAAACCAAAGTGGCAAAAGATGGATGTTGCCTCCCTGGAACAATAGCCACGATTTGTAACTGTTGCACTTTTGCAGTGGGTATTTCCCTTGACATTGCTCAGGCAAGATTGCCCATTTTCAGACCTCTGTATGTATACACCCGAGCTCTTGCACAAGTCAGAAAATAACATTAATGAGTACAAATATTTGTGAACATTACATATGATTTTGAAAAGGATCTATAACCATGGACAGCTCCTCCCAAGTGCCACTTGGGCATTCTGAAGGGGCTGACCAAATAAGGATAGTATTACCACATGAGCTTTGCAAACGTTAAAAAAAAAAAAAGTACAAAAATGCTGTGAAG